TGTGTGTGTGTGTGTGTGTGTGTGTGTGTGTGTGTGTGTGTGTGTGTAATAGTTCTCATATGTGGGTGAGAGGACAATTTGTGGAAGCCTGTTTCTCCTTTACCATAAAGGTTTCATGGATCAAACTTGGGTTGTCATGTTTGGCAAAAAGTACCTTTCCTTTCCAAGCCATCTTACTGGCCTCTTCTGGCTTTTATTTTATTGTTTCTGCAGTCATGATTATCTGTACTTACTCCATTGACCAATAGAATCATAACATTATACTCTTCAAAGCTCTTTCCTTGGTGTTTGGGGTCATTCATTTCTAATTTGGGGGCTCAAAAAATATTCTATTTTCTTCCCTTGTGGGACCTCTCCCATAAACAGAAGTATTTTGCTTAATTTTTTGGCACACTGAATAATGAATTTGATTATTGGTAGGATTCTCACATACTCTTGAGATAGTTCTCTGCTTGAAAAAAAAATGATGTTAAAAGATTAATCTACTATGTAGTTGCACTCACAGAAGTCTTCCCAGGCTTTACCCTTTCTATCCATAGCTTTGGCCAATACTATAAAAATAAACGTTGCTCCCAAGCACTGTCCCTTTAATTAACAAGGCATTCCAATCTAAAATATATGCTTGGCAGTTAAATCTAGCTGTATGGTAGAAAAACAAGTATTTATTGCACACTTATCACTGAATCTCTAAAGCCTCTTTGTAACTTATTTTTAATCCATGGGAAAATTCTACATTGCAAGAAGCATCCAGCACAATAAGAAGTGATTAATTTTTATTTCTTGGTTATGAGACACAAAGCCTGCAAACACTCTTGGGTAGTCAATAGGATGTTAGGATTCATGAGTATTTTGGATGACCTGTTGCTGAGTTAAATCAAGAGAAATAAGAAGCACAAAATAAAGCATGTCTCACAATTTTGACATCTACCATTTCAGTGAATATTAATAGCGTAAGCTAGTTTTAGTAATAGTTTTATGACTTTTCACATATTTAGATAATAAAATGGATGTGAAACTTTAATCACAGAGTAAATTATAAAACTCTACTGTTGATGTCCTCTTGGCAACAGCATCCAGATTTATCCTCCAAGGTGATGTCTAAGAAGATGAGTACCAACAAATTGTGATATATGTATCCATTAACATTTTTAAAATTTTAAAAGCAGTCTCATGTATCCCATCCTAGCCTCCAAGCCACATTGAAACTGAAGATGATGTGGAACGTCTGATGCTTTTGACACCTTTTCTATTCTGTCAGTGTGAACGACTCCACTTGGTTTCATGAACTCTTGGGAAATCAAAACCAGAACTTCATGCATGCAAGACAATCATTCAGTGAATTTAACTGTAACTAACTCCTATATTAGCAATGTTTGCACCCTTAAATATTTCAAATATTATCCCATAAGTCAAATCATATTATGTTTTACTAAATAGAAACTAGCTATTTCAATATCAGAGGATCTTCTTGTTTGCATTACTGGGTTATGATTTGTTTTCCTTCCTGCCAATCTTTGTCATTATCCACTAAAGGCCAGTTATCTATCTCCACTTTGATAATATGGGGTATTAGTATGTGATTCACTAAGTTAATGAAATGTATATAAACATAATTAAAGATAAAACAAAGGTTCATACTGGTTTGTATTATTAATCATTTTTTTCTTATACCCGTTATTCTATAACATATGCCATTTATTGGATAAAGTGAATTTATGAATTTTACTGGTTACAATGATTTGAAAGCCTGGTAAGACATCATAAAAGTCAAGCTACAAACTTAATAATTGTTGTCATCATCACCATCACATTTTAGTGCCAGTGGACTGAGACTGACCTGGATTATGGTTTAATTAGGCACTTGAAATGAAGGAACCTATGCCTTGAACCAATGAGAAGGGAAAATTCCTGCCTGTATATAAGAACATCTAATTTAGATTTGCTTTAATAGTCATTATATAACAGTCTTCAAAAGAACTCTCTAACAGGTAGGAAAATGCAAAGCAGTAATACTCAAATTTTAATAATTAACAACAACAAAAAAAAAACAAACTTAAGACTAGAAGACATTAAAAGATTTACCCTATAGTGTCAGGAGTCATGGTATCAAAGGTATGATAGAAAGAAATGTCTTATCACTAGATACAGTTTTGGAAGGCAGTTTACTTGTGAATTGATTCTAAACTCCTAAGATGTTGGTATTGCTGGGAAATAAGCAGAAAAGCGGTTTTAAAAAAATGAATAGAAAAGTATTGAGATTATAGTCCTTAAGAGTCTCTGGGAACAGTAGATCATTTCCTCTTCTTCCTATACAAATGTCTGACCAATGTTGCATGTCAATATATTTGCCCAACTTTCAACAACTCCAAAGTAAATTTCTATCACTCTGTCATGCCCTCTAGTGTTGTTCTTAGGAGGATTCCCTCCATCTCTCCTTTAATCTGGATGCCATGTCTTTAGTATCCTGGTGTAATTGCAGCACTTCTGAAAAATTCTCTGTAATTTATCTTGACATAAGCTGACCTACTCTTTCCATTTGCTAGCTACACACTAAATTCTAAAAAAAGAGGCCTGGGAAAGTGGTAATTATAATCAAGAGCATTTTTCACATGTATACATATGGCCATATATGTGATTATAAATTTTGAAAAGAATTATAGCATTAGGCACTCTAAATAAAGTTAATCTTTGACAAGCCTTCACGTATTTCAATATTTTTATGCCAAAACATGACTGAGAGGAAGAAAATAAAACTTAACAGTAGCTTAGGTTTATAGAGTATTTGCTATGTTTTTTTTAATTTGTTTTTAATTAGCACAAAAATGGTGGATTCCCTTAGGGCATTTTCATCCATACTTGGTTTTATTGATACTTTTCTCTGACTCTCTTCTTCTAACCCATGCCCTGGTTTTATTCATTTGATACCAGTAATACTTACCCTTTTCACCTTATGGTCACATGTTTCCTACTACCTTTTCCTTCTTCCTTAAAACTTTTTCCTTCTTTTATATTCCCCTTTCAAGTTTCATGATCTTAAACCACCACCCACACCCACATATATACACACATAAATGCCTCAAAGTTATAATCTGTATATAAGACAGAACATGTAGTATTTGTACTTTGGAGTCTCAGTAAACTGAATATAATTTCTAGATCCACCAATATTCCTGCAGATTTTATTAGTTCACTTTTCTTTACAGCTGCATAAAATACCAGTGTATATACAGACCACATTTTTTTTGTTTTGGTTCTGAGCTCAAGATTTTTTTTTGTTTTAGTTCTGAGTTCAATATCTTGAAATGTTCTTATTTGATCTGAATGGTTTGAATCAACATATTTGACCAATTTTTGATTAATATTTTAACCAGAGTATTTTAAGAACAACAATTGAAAAATTAAGTGAGGGAAATTCTTTGGCTGAGGTCTGAAATAATTGTGTATAATTCAAGAAAAGACAAAGATGGGACCCAAAACTAATGATGACATGAATTTACATCATCACCATCAGCATTTTATCAAATTGTCCAATGTAAACAAGGCATATCTCTTGCCAGTTTCAAGTAATATTTGCTAAATTGCTTTTATAAATGAAGCAAGCTGAGATCTGTCAAAATTTCAACCTATTTTAAGAAACATCTAATAAGCCAACTTTGGGAAAACTTAAAATTAGCTTATATTATTTTCACTTAACAACACAGCAAATGATTTTTTAATTTTTATATAAAAGAATGTAAACACCAATTTTAATTTTTGAAAGCCTTCAGTAACAGTTTAAGAAGCTGAATATGACTAAAATTAATCAAGTTGTATGCTATTATGGGGAACAAAGTATGAAAGATGTGTATGTTGGAGGGGAAAAGCTTGTAAAAGACAAAAAAATATCACTTTAAAGAGAGAGGCATGTCTGCAAATTGATTTCCCCAGATCCCTGTCTCTTACTGTATTTGAAGCTACTCTTCTGTGATTATCTCTGAGCCTTGTAAGGAGATGGTGTTATGAAAATATGCCATTAGGGCTGGACAAACAATGGTTTGAGGACATGACAGAACTGTTGCATACCTTAACTCACACTAGCTGTGGTTCCCATGGAACACCTGCACAAAATCAAGACAGTAACAGTTTCAGCATGGATGAAGCAGGGACCCATGAAGTCTGACCACTAGCTAAAGACCTGTTTGCAATTGATGGCTACTAGAGGAAGGTGAGTCAGTTTTCATCGAGAATGATGCCCTTTTGTAACAGTTTGTTCATGTTACAATAGAAGGCCCTATACCAATGAACCTGCTGGCAGCACTAATTATACTCAGTGTGTCTAAAGCAATAACAACAACAAAGAGGACGTGGAGGTAGGTGGAGAGAGATATGAGGGGAGGGTCTGGGGGAAATTGGCAGAAGGAATGGAAGATGATTAGGATCAAAATATATTGTACACATATATGAAACTCTCCAAGAAAAAAAATAAAGATTTTTAAAGATGGGCAACAGAAACAAAACAACTTTTCTCTAGAAAATTAATCATGTGGTGATTCATGGGGCAGGTTCCAAAGATAAGCATACAAGGATATTCATCACAGTGTCCTTTAAAAAAATTAAACTCTGCAAGCTTGGCTGTGCCTGTAATCCCAGCACTTGGAAGGATAAAGCATAAAGATTGCCCCAAGTTTAAGGGCAGTCGAAGCTACACAGTGAATTTTTGATCAGCTTGGGCTGCAGAGTGAGATTTTTATCTCACAACATTGAAATTTCAACAAACCAAACAAATGAGCAAAATCCCATTAAAAAGCAATTAAATAAAAAGACAAAGCATGAATATATATATCTGATAAAGAGTATATATTCTCGAGTATGACATTAGTTGGTTTAAGATCACAGTTTGTGATCACACAGAGAAGGAATGAGTGCTAAATATACTATGATTTGACAGCAAGGATGAAGCTAACCTACTATTATTATTTGATTAAAATGACACAGCATTATACTTCACCCAAAATTCTTATTTCTCATCAGAGAAGTTTCCCTGGGCAGTCCACAATGGTTAATTCAGAAACTCACAACTGATCAAAGCAGAGAGAATACGTTATGACAGTGTGCTCATCTACAAATGGGATATCTATATGACCACCAACACCAACCTAGCAAAGCTCGGGAACTTAGTAAGGAAATACTTAGGGGAAACTATTAGTTAGGAAACTAAATAGTTAGGGATCTTAGGTGAAATAGTTCATAGAAGACTGGAGCAAAACTGTCCACAGAGCATGACAAAGTGGCAACATTCGTGAAAGAATAGCAGCTATGTTTGCCTTCATAAGACCTGCAAAAGGTCAAGTCCATTCATACTATAGCATGGAGGGAAAGGGTCTCATAATATCCAACACCTAATTGAGGAGTTATACACAGTTGATGGTTTCTGGGGGAGAGAGAGGAGAGAGTCAGTTTTCATTAAGGGTGTGAATCTTGGTAAGTTAATCATTCCTAGTAAAAGGTCTTATACCCAGAAGTATGTGGTCAGCAACAGTTGGACTCATTGAATTAAAGTTTTAAAAGAAAAAAGGACAAAAAGTTGGGATAAATGTGAATCTAGGAGTTGGGTTGAATATGACCCATGCTTGTTACCTGAGATTTTTAAAGAATTGATAAAAATATAAAGTTAAAAATAAGTAAATACAATTTATAAAAATAGATGTATGCTGTGGTCCTTTATATCCTGACGTATAAAGTTAACATTAAGTACTTAAAGCAAGTGAGGGGTTTTTGAAAAGGATACTTCTAATATGTAAAATTCCTTCTGTATACGTTTGTGTTGGTGCAGTGAGACAACAAAATGAAAGCAAGTATTGTAATGAGAAGGAGATTTCCAAGGAGTGTTCAACACAGTATCCATAGCAGTGAGCTCTTCTATACACTTCAGGTTTTCTCTGAAACTTGCAAAGCTATAACATTATTAAATAATGTGTATAAAAGTATGATTTTTTAAAAGAAAATATAATTTTGATGGGTATATAGACTTAACACATAGTTTAAAATATATTGCTTAAATTCTTTATAGTAAGGCAATATGATCTTATAAATAGATAAATGGATATTCTTTTATAATAAATAAATTGAAAAACACACAACATCACACACACACACACACACACACACACACACACACACACACACGATGATAGTTGTTTTGTTTTTTTTTTTTTAATTTTCAAACCACGACAAAGAAGTCTTCATAGATCCGATGATGCAACCAACTCCCACCTGCCTTATTTTCTGACAAAGATGAGACTGCTCAAGAGAATAAGGTTGGAAAAGAAAGCAGGGTCAAAGCCTGGTCAGTATGTCACTGAAATACACCCTTTTGACTACATTCATATAAATACAATGGATTTTTTTTTTTTTATTTAAGACCATTAGAACCAACTTAAAAGAATTATCTTCAGGACTTTGTTTTATGAGTACTGTACATGCTCTCCTTTAGCCCATTGTTTGTAAACAAATGAAGTTGTGAATTAGATGAAAAGACTCCTCGGAGGTGACTTCAGTTCATCAGCTTCAGGAACTCAACTTTTGTCTAATGGTTTACAAGTCAAATATTTAAAGGTCAATGTTTCTTCATAGGTTATTTTGAATTTTTATTTTGA